GGAATTATGTCCTACAATTGTCCTAGCTTGAAAGTGACTTGTAATAGGCACAACTGGCTAACAAATTTGGCCTACTAACTTATTCATTATTTCATTTAATGTATTCAGTTGTTTGGCCATATTGTCATAATGTGCATTTCCATTCTGGGTAAATCTTTCCATATTATGAATATTTTGTAGATTTACCTGTTCAACGACTTCCTGTGTGAATTCTCCAAGTAATGCACGCATGGTTCGAGGACTCAACTCTGTCAATGGTTTGTAACGACTGTGACTACTATGACTACTATGACTCTTTCCCTCTATTCGTGGAGAGTTTTGTTGTTCCTCATATCGCTCGATCACAGATTGGACTCCTCCCTGACTTGCTGCTTTCTTATCAGATTTGTGAGGCATATTGTTTCACTTTTTGTATCCTGAACACCAAACACCAAGGTCCCACTGGGCGTGCCAAATTGCTTCGCGCGGGTAGTCGCTAACAATTAAAAAAAGGATCAAACGATTGTGTAAAAAACAGACCTCTTGAGACAAAGTCCCAAAAAAGAGTGTTTTGATTTACAATTGGAAATAAACAGAATGCCTCCAAGGGGCACAAGCACACGAGTACTAAAAGAAGTGTTTTTAAATTTTAGCTAAGAAATTAAAATTACATATTCTCTGTTTGAGAGTGTTTTGATTCTTCCTCTTTTTCTCTATGTCTTCTCTTCCTTTTTATATTCTCTGGATGATTTCCTCGTGACAAACCGCTTGGAAACTGCTTGATTGCTTTATAACTACCCACTTTCTTTATAGTGGCTAACTTATTGTGGAACTGCCGTCTCTAACTGCTGCCATTACTCTTTGTCGTTCAACCGCCTTCAACTGGGCTCCTTGAATCGTAGAATGTGATAAGATTACTCAATAACTGCTTTAATAATTGTATTCTGGATAACCATAATATTTTATGTTTGCTAAGATCCTGGGCGATTCGAAGTTTGGGCGAGAACGGGGTCATCGCTCTGGACGACCGTAAGGCACTCTATTCGCTCAGATTCTGGGCGTCTTGCAAGCTTGGGCGATAATGTTACTGTGTTCGTGGGCTTCCGCTGCATTCATCAATAATCTTGTTTGGACCTTTATCCTGGACTCCCCAATTGGGTTTCACTCTTTGGGCTATTTGATTTTGGCTGCACTTTTAGTGTGTCAACACCTGCAAAGCAAGAAAGCATGGCTATCCATCAAACAATTGGAAATTGCCATTTGAGGGAGAGAAGAATTCCCAAGCCTGATATGCTGATTTAAGGGAGAATTTTGAAGAAATTGATAGGATTTTCGATAATTTTCTCTTCCAGTGTTCCAGTTGTCGTGACTATGGGGAAAAGTCGTGGGTATAAAAGAAGAGATGTCGTGTGTTTTGTTCCAGGTTATCAATTTAACAGAGAAATGGTTGCCACATTTGCTTCCATTATCCACGTGTAGTTTTCCGTTTATTTGAAGAGATGGAAGTTAAATGAGTGGTGGATGGGTAATTAAATGGAAAGATGAGTAACCATTGGGTAACCCGTTAAAAAAGAGTGAGTAAGTAGTAACCATTTCAAAGTTGAGTGATGACTGATTAAATTTACTCTTAGCCACACATACCTTACCTTCAAAAGTTATCAACTCATTAAAGAAATACCTTAAATTTGGAATCCCTTAACACTGGGTATTGATTAATTTTGTGGAGAAGCTGGAGGGAGGAGAAGACGGAGGGAGAAGGCGGCGAGAAGAGAGAGAGAGAATTTGTTTTTTTCATTTTCGATGTTTTAATAAGACTTTTGGACCGATTTGCACTTTTTAAAAAGTTTGGGCCTATATTTGCAATTTTTCTTTATTTTTTATTTTATTTAAATAAAATGGTATATTAGTCATTTTACGTTAAAAATTGATGAAAATGACATTCAACGTAAAGAAAGGTGGAAGGTAGGAGCCAAAAAAAAAATAAAGGTACGGACGTTTTCCACAATAACCTCCAAAAGTAGGGACGTTTTGTGCCAATTACCCATATTTTATTCCTTATGTGATCTAATATGATGCGCTAAACGTGCCCTTAAATCAATAATAAAAAATTAAACTCACATTTTTATAAAGTTGAGGTTTGTTTGAATTATTTCCTTTTTCTCTTCCTTCCGCTTTGTCATTAGAAATATTCAATTGTTATTTGCATCATAAGCTTCTACAAAATTTTACGATTATTGTCAAACTACTGCAACACCTCATTTTCGAATATATGAAAAACATAGACAGAGTTATTAAAGGCACTAAACCATTTCATGTAAGACAATAAATTTTTTTTTTTGTTCCAACTGGATCACTGTAAATTAATTATATAGTTTTAATTATGTCACTGAACTTAAAATATAATGGTTTATCATACAGGGAATCCGGTGGAGCTTCAATGAATCCAGTGAGAACTTTAGGACCAGCAATACTTATAAAACATTAATATCTAAACTATACAACACTCCCAAACGCCCCATTCGATTGCCTAGATAAGTGTAAAATTTCACTTATCAATGGATCACTAATATTTGAAACTCAATTCAATCTATCGGTAGTACGGAAGACGGTTAACATTAAAGATTAAATATTCAATGCCATGTCTTGTTTCCTATTCACACCTTTCACGACATAGATGTGTACCTCTGAAAAATTCGAGACATTTTATCACTAATGAATTGAATAATTTTATGCTTTGTTCTTCCATCATTTTTTATTCTGCATAGAATCTAGGAAATGCTTAAATAGCTTCTTCACCATTTTTAATCATTATTCACCATTTTACTCTTCATGTCGTTTTTTTAACATTTTCCTGTTTGTTTTCTCTTTCCCCTTTCCACAAGGCGTCTTGTAATATGACATCTTATCATTGTGTATTTTATTTTTTGTTGAGATAATTTTAGTTAAATATTGATAAAGATTTAAGTGTACTTTTTTTCCTTCTGAGAGTTTGAATCTTTAATGTGTGGAATATATAAAAATTTCACTCATTAGTGTGATTCAGCTTGTTTTCTTTGGGTTGGTTGATCAATTATATCATAACTTATAGTCCTGTTAGATCATTATCTGCTTGAATTCGCTAAAGTAACCAAACCTTTAATTTGCTTTCCTTCTTTTCTAGATTAGTGGAACATACTTGTTTGATCATTATGTATTTGAATTGGCTAAAGACAGTGGGTTGCATGATTTGACGGTCAAATTGCGAATTCAATATTGTCTACATTTGAAATGAATGAAAATAAGCACTTAAATGTTGTCATATTAATAGAAGGAAGATTTCTAGAAAAAGGAATTACATAATAAATGTAAAAATGGGGTATGAGTTAAAAGTGGAAATACATAAATTGCGAATTGAGACGTATAACGATAGACTTGAAGTTAGACGAAAGATGAAGAAACGCTCCTCCATTTAGTTTCAGCTAGTTTTTTGATTTCAAATACCAAACATCTAAGTTATTGTCCCTTGGAACGAAGATTTTTGAAGTTAAAATGAAAAATGAAAAATGAAAGAGAAAATGTAAAACCAAAAGAAATTCAAGAATCCCAACCTACTTCTATTGCACGTGACTATGTTATTAAAGGGAAAATTAGATAATATTTAAATTCTTGCTTAACTGCATGCACGATGCCGATGTAAAATTAAAATAGCACAACAAAGAATGAATGAAATATTAAAGGGCGCATATGTCATTTTGTTGTCTATTTTAATTGCGGAGTAATCAATCAACTAATGTGAGTTTAGGAGAGAGCGGAAAACGCTTTTGGTCCGTCGTTTTCGAAAATGTATTTTCAAAAAAATGAGTTAAAATTTATAACTGAAAACGCAAAACGACTTTTTATCGTTTTGAGCATTTTCAGTTATAAATGTTGAAAACGCCCAAAACGCGGAAAATGAGCCGTTTTCGGAAAAAACTAAAAATAATTTTGAAAATGAAAATGAAAAATGAAAACGGAAACCAAACGCAGCCTAAGCAATCCCAGAAACGGGCTTTAACAGTATAATTGCGTAGTTTGGTAGGAAGTCTGCATCCATTCAATGAACAAATATTTTTATTGCAATTTAATATAATTCAAAGTCTACATGCAAGCCTCTTATTCAATTAAGAAATTGCAAATTGCTATCACATTCTTAAACAATATATACTCGCATAATGTGTTGGGTGGGGAGTCTGCATCCATTCAGTAAACAAATATTTTTATTGCAATTTAATATAATTTTTTCTTCTCAAAGTCTACATTGCCAGCCTCTTATTCAATTAAGAAATTGCAAATTGCTATCAACATTCTTAGACAATATATACTTGCATAGTGCGCTAGGTGGAACAGATATGAAGTCTGCATCCACCCAATAACAAATAATTGTATTGCAATTTAATATAGTTTTTTCTTTTCAAAGTCTAAATTGCCAGCCTCTTATTCAATTAAGAAATTGCAAATTGCTATCAACATTCTTAAAACAATATAAACTTGCATATTGTGTTCAGTGGAATAGATTTGATTGCTTTCATTTTGCTTCAATTTTCTATCCTTCAAGCTGTGATAGGAGAGAACAGAAATGGCTTACGCTGCTCTTCTTCCTCTTACTCACATTCTACCGCGCACCCTGAAATATGATTGTTCATATCTTCTTCCTGGTGAGCAACAACAAATCGATTCAGTCCTCGAAAAAGTTGTTTACTTGCAATTTCTTGATAATTTTTCACGAGAAAATATCGAATCAATCGAAGGCTTGGAGAGAAAGATCAGCGATGCAACATGTCAAACTGAAGATATTATTGAATCCTGCATTTCAGATCGAGTTCTTGAAGAATCTGCAAGTCACAGTGGTGACATCTTTACAACTTTATTCCATGAAATAGCGAAACTAATTGAAGAAGTTGATTCCATAAAGACAAGGACAGAGAAGATTGAGGATGAGAGTGGCAGACGAGAAGATTTGGAGTGCAACACCTCATTGCCTGTTGGTTCATTAAGACCAGTTTCTTAGGATCAGAGCACTATGGTTGGTCTTGATGATGCATTGGTGGAGATCAAGGCTCAGCTAGTTGGAGGTTCACCACAATTTGAAGTTGTCTCAATTGTCGGCACGGGTGGCATCGGTAAGACTACACTCGCTCACAAAGTTTACATTGATAAATATGTTGAGTATCACTTTGATATTCGCACTTGGCTCACTGTATCTCAAGAATATAGTGTGCGAGAAATCCTACTAGGCCTCTTAGACTCTATGAAAATAAAAATTGATGGGAGGAGTGAAAAGGACATTGATCAATTAGGAGAAATTCTGTACAAGAAGCTAAAGGGTTGGCGGTATCTTTTTGTAATGGATGATGTGTGGGACAATGTGAAAAGATATTTTCCAGAAGACAAAATTGGAAGTCGAATCCTTTAAACTACTAGGCTTGAGAATGTGGCTAATTATATCAACTCTGGTTCTCCTCTTCATCATGTTCGTTTTCTAAATGACAAAGAAAGTTGGAAGTTATTTTGTCTAAAGGTGTTTGGAGAAGGTTTTTGCCCTCTTGAATTGGAAGAAATCGGCAAGAAGATTGCCCAAACTTGTCAAGGACTTCCACTTGCAGTTACTGTGATTGGGGGCCTCCTATCAAAGGCCACTAAAACACCACATTACTGGGGAAGTATTGTAGAAAATTTAAGTTCAGAAATAACTTCAAATGAGGAGCAATGCTCTAAGATATTTTCTTTAAGTTATAAACATTTGCCCTATCATTTGAAAGGGTGTTTCCTATAAATGGGAATTTTTCCAGAAGATTTTGAAATCAATGTCATGGTACTTACAAAGTTGTGGGTTGCAGAGGGAATCCTCAAACCTGCATGCTCTAAAACGTTGGAAGGCATAGGAGAGGAGTACTTTTTGGATCTCCTTCAAAGAAGCCTTGTTATGGTTCAAGAGAAAGGGTCCAATGGAAAAATTAAAACCTGTAGAATTCATGATCTGTTATGGGACCTTTGTGTCAGAGAAGCTCAAAAGGAGAACTTTTTCTGTGTTACTAAAGGAAGTCTTTATGATATTCAAGAGGGCACTAGTATATGCCGTGTAAGTAATATGACGCAGTGTTTTCTATATTTCCATGCAGCTAAAGGGACTCTCGAGCGTGATGACAAAACACTATCTTCTTCAGTGGTGCAGTCTTGTTCACTTAAAGTACTGCATAACGAGGATTATTATCGACTTCTAGATGGAATGGATGAAATGGTTAACATACGGTACATCTATAGCAACGGTGCACTGTCCATTGCATCAATATATAAACTTCGGAATCTACAAACAATAGTTTTTCCAGAGTATTGGAAGCGCGATATGGAACTATCACCAGAAATATGGAAGATGCCACAATTAAGACATGTCAAGTTTCATTCGATATATCTTCCTCGTCCTCCTTGTTCAGAAATTAAGGAGGGAGAAAATTCTATTGTTGTTCTAGAAAACCTACAAACACTCTCGTCGATACGTAATTTTAGCTGGACGGAGGAGGTCCTAAAAAGAATTCCAAATCTACAGAAATTGGCTATCTATTACGATTATGAGACAGCGGCTGACTGGGAAGAACACTGTGTCAATAATCTTGGCCATCTAAATAAACTTGAATCATTATGCTGTTGTATTGAATATACGCTCCCTAATTTGGTAATCCATTTTACTTTTCTGACATCACTCAGAAAGTTGACTTTATACGGCTTTAACCTTCATCCCTTCTAATTGGCGATTCTTGGTTCGATGCCAAATCTTGAAGTGCTAAAATTTAGAGAGTGTGACTTCTTTTGTCAAGAGTGGGAACCAAATGAAGGAGAATTTCTTAAATTGAAATATCTGCTATTAAGTGACCCTGAACTGAAGCACTGGAGAGCTGACCGCAACCATTTCCCAAGACTCGAGCACCTAGTCATTTCAATTCATGATAACAATGTACTAAATAAGATCCCTAGTGGTTTTGGAGAAATTCCAACTCTTCAATCCATCGAGTTGCGAGGTGGTGGTGATTCGATTGTAGAATCAGCAAAGAAAATAGAAGAGGAACAACTGAGTTTGGGAAACGATGCCTTCAAGTTATATATTAACGAGTTCTAAATGCATTTGAGTTTCAAAGTTTGTCCATTCCAATCATTTGCTGGTAGCATGTTTTTGTGATTGTGATCATTTTCCATTTTCAGTTTTGGCTTGCTTGTTTAAACCAACTTCAATGCAGGTTCTGTGCAACAAGAGTGCGATCAAGTTTCTCTAACACTTTACTGTACAACCATGATTTCAATTAGTGTCCTTGCTTGTCTATTTTGTTTTTTCTGCTTTCATCTCTCTTTATTTGTGGTTTTCACATGATTTTATCAATGTTAATTGACATTGACAAAATCATGATTCATGTTTCTTGCCATTCTAGAGGTGTACAGTTTGTGTGCAGTACTATTGTTGATAAATAATTATGAATTCCTAATTGTTTATCAATGTTAATTGACGAAATCATGTTCATCAATCTTATCCATTACTTCTTATGGTTGACTACATGTATCCTGTTTGTCGAGTCTGCTCTATTCAAAGCAAGTATATCATATGTGTAACTGCAGCTTGCATAATTTTGCTGATACACATTGTAAAAGATTGGTCCACGAATCATGTTCCCAGTGTGGCATGTTGGAGATGCCGTGTGGCATATTATTTTTTCTCAAGTCAGACCAGTTGGTATAACAAATAAGTTAACAAGGCGACGACTATCCAATAAATGTCTTTTGTGTGTAAATTGAGTGACAGCTGACAATCCAGGGAGTAAACAAACAATCATATTAAAAGATGACGCAATAAGAAAAGCCATATTTATAAAGCAAAATGTAACCACTTCAAATCCTAAGTTTTAATTTGGAGCTGCTGCTGCTGCTTCTTCTTCTTCTTTTACACACAATGAAATAAAAAACTTCGATTAAAAAATGATGCAATAAAATAATTTTTGGAGATTCTTATTTTCAAAAATTAAAAATTCAGCTCTTATTACAAAAATTAGCATAGCATAAATAAAGAATCTTAAGTTTATAAGTTAATGTGTATTCTAGTTTAAAATTTCATTTAGCAATTGAAATATTATAAATTCTCAAATTAAATTGAAAATCTATATAAATTTTATTGTTTTCTTAAGACAAGTAATATCTTTAAATATTTTTAAAGAATATGGAGGTGGCTTTGTGGCATCGGGTTCCTAAACCAGTCCTTAATGACTGAACTTAAATTTGGACATGGACTAAACATAAAAATAAAAGTAAATAGTTACAAAAAGGACCTGGGCTATGGTTGGAGCTGGCCGTAACCCCTTGCTTCGTCCTTATTTTGATCCAGTTCTAGGTGTACCAACCTAATAATAAACCAAATTGTCCACAACATACATGACAGAGGGCAAATCCTTCATACCCTGCCTCAATTCCAAGGTGCAACCTGTCATAAAATTATGAACTTGTCACCCTAGAACATGGTGGAGGGAACGGTGGACAAAATTCAATAATCAATAATTCGTCAAGTTCCTGCTTTCTAGTTTCTCTTTCAACCTTGCCTCGAAGTATAACAATTACCTTTTTTATTACATGATCCCTCATCAATCACGAGGTTTTTTACAATGTTGAATAAATGATTATTATTATTGTGCTCTAGTACTTTGTTTTCTTCCTCTTTTTTTACAAAAGGCAGTGAGACATAGCTAAATATTATGCTTTGTCCATTGTAGCTAATTAAAAAGTATCATATATATTCCTAAAATCTGTCTTGTTGTAATATAAAAAATTTTGCGATTATTATACTTCCTCGTATTCTTACCACTTTGTAATTTTATATATATATATATATAAGAATTAAAACTTGTTCTAGAATGAAAAGAAGGACAAAAAGGTAAATAATAAAATTTCTATATATTAACAGAATGAACAGTATTGCACAAATGCTATATTTACCTGCTTGCTGGAGGTGCTATTTCTTAGAAGAGTGCTAAGCAGACATTCGTAGCTACTTCCACCATGGCAGCAGAGTTAATAGCATGTTATAAGACATCAAATCATGGAATATGGCTACGTAATTTTGTCACTGGGCTGCGCATTGTGGATAATATAGAAAGACCACTTAAGATATTTTGTGACAATAAATCAGCAATGTTGTATTCCAATAACAACAGGAGCTCGACAAAGTCAAAACACATAGAGATCAAATTCCTTGCTGTTAAAGAAAAAATTCAGAGTGGACAGGTGTCAATAGAGCATATTAGGACAAACTCCATGGTTCTACCAATCACCTAAAAATTGTATAGGAGTTATCATTGGGATTTCTACTTAAACAAAACTCATTATGATCTTATGGTGGATCTTTTGATTCCAAGTAAATCGTACAACCAATCTTAATTTGTAGTACCCACAATACAAAATCTTTCAAAAACACACACTTGGAGTCCAAATAAATGGTTTTTGTTAATTTGACTGTTAGTTATCCATATAAGAAAAAAAAAAAGTTTGACCGCTTTTGACCAATTTAGAAAGGGTAAAAGGGTACTTTTATATTATTCTAAAATTAAATAAAATAACAAAAAATCAAAAGGAAAAAATGTTTTTCTTCTGTTCCCTCTACTCCCACCCTCCATTCCCATCCCCACTCCTCAAAACCAAATCCAAAAGCCACTGCCACCTCCTACCACCATTGTCGGTGTCATCATATCAGCTTGGACGAATCATCCAAATGGATACCCGATTCCATGCGGAGTCGAGGTGGGTCAGGTTTGATTGATTGGGAAAATCCTCCTCATTAAGCTTCTTGGGGATGGATCGTGAAGCTGCATATCATAGGTTAATTCCCTGACCGAATAGGCGTATGAGGCTACCGCAGCAGAATCTGATGCCTTCTCTATTGAAACAACAGCTGCACCACCCGCCATTTTTCTTTAAGAGAAGAAACACAAACCAAATGCAAACCAAACAGTTTTGGGTTCTATCAAATGGCAAAAATATAGTGTTATAATGGTATAAGGAAAGATTATAATGCAAACCTAAAAACACAAATATATTCGTATATTAAAAATATATTGCAAACCTAACGGTGGTGGTGGTACCCGGCTTTGAGGAGGTGATGCCGACGGTGGCAACAACTTTTGGATTTGGTTTTGCTTTTGGTTTTGGGGGCTGGGAATTGGGAGTGGGGGTGGAGGGAAAAAGAAGATATAAGTATCATGTCCTAATTCCAATCGATTTAGGTTGTATACACTTTTAATATGTTTAATGCATTTATTTTTTTCAAGATCTATTATTTATTTAAATCAATATTTTGATGAATGATATTAAACAATAGAGTCCGTAGATTCAAGTTTCAATAATTTGTTTATCACAAAAAGTTGTGATTGTGAGATACAAATTACGTAAGATTGAATCTTAAATAATCTATGGCCGTTAGTAATAATGAGATACGGATATCGATATTACAGATAGACCATCACGTGTGGCATTTTTACTTATGAAGTAAGTAGCTAACCTCACAAGTCAAAGTGTGGTGACACTTAAATGAACACGTGAATGTTTTGTTATAGAACAAAACTTTGGAGACTCGCTGGGAAATTACACATGGATAATGAGTGTTAGTGATTGATCTCTAATGTTCGATAGTAGAATTGGTCCTTTGACTTAAGGTCATCATAGTGCCGTATATGAGGGCAATCATGTTTTGATGATGCTGGATTTTGCTCGGCCAAGGGTTGCTAATACGACATCCTTCGGGTATGTCAAGAATCATATGAAGATTGTGAATAACTAATAGATGATTTATCACTTTTAGATAGTAAGAGATTATGATATACATTTCATCCAATTAAGTTAATAACGAAATATTTGGCTGAGATGTACTCATAAATCGAAAAGGAGTTTTTGAATTTTATTGACTTAATCGTGGAATGAAAGATATGATCGATAATTGAAATTGACACTTATCCTTATCCCATAATTGATCAGATCATATTGACGAAGGGATTATAGTTTCACGATAAACGAATAAGTTTGGTTTTGTTATACCATGTGACGTTTTTGTCACTTGTATTGCCCTGGTACATTGTTAGATATCAATCTAGGACAACGAATGTGAATTGGTAATAAATTAAAATGGGCGTCTTAATTTATCGATTTTGATTAGATCAAAATAATAATTCACGTTGTTAGGTATCGTGATTGGAAACCTAATGGATCATACACAAAATGAGAACTAGAAGATTGTGATTTACCAATTAATTAATTTAACAAGCGTTGAATAAATTAATTAATTAGGTTGCTTATTAATATAACTGAATTAATTAATTGGATTAATTCATTTATGGGCCAAATTTAATTAAATTGGTTAATTAAATATTGGACAGGATTAGGAAACGGGTCAAGCCCGTTTGGACTTATATAAATAAGTAGCTAAGGTTTAGAAATTATAGAGATTTTCATTCCTCTTGCTAGCACAAGAAAATAAAACCTTAATTTCCTCTCAATCTTATTCTCTATGTGGAATTCCATTGGAAGTTAGACAATTAGACAGCTGTGGGTGATAGATCAAGGTTGCTAGAACAAAGAAAAAGTAAAAAGTTTACAGAATTCAACAAATGTATAATTTTCTATCACAATTTATATCTAAACACAAAGCAGATACTTGGTGAAAATTGAAAATTATCTTATTTTTCGCTATACGTGATTAAGTAAATTCCCAATAAAAGAACCTTTTTTTTCTTTTTTTAAATATTTTATTCAATTTATATAATTATTTTATGTAGAATAATATAAAAATACCATTTTACCATATTCAACTTGGTGAAATGATGTCAAACCATTTTTTATGGACAACTAAGGGTCAATCTAACAAAAACCATCCATTTGAACTTCATGTGCAAGTATTTAAAGGTTTGGTACCGTGGTTGTCAAAAATTAAAGATCTAGATCAAGTTGGCTCAAAAGTGAAAGGTTTGGTACCGTGACTGCAATTTTTCCTTATTTTAAACCCAAAAAATTCACAATCATGCGTGTGCTAGATGATTAGAACGAAATTTGATTTGAGCAGCAAGTGGTTCATTGTGTAGCTCTATTATTTTACTAAGACAAATTAAAGTATATTTGGCTAAGTTTAAAAAGACTTATTTATATGTAAATTTTTGAGAGATTTTTATTTATTAAAGTTGAAAAAGCGAATTACTTATTTTGACATTAAAGAAAAAATAAATTTTAAATTAAATAACCATTTTTTTATAAGTTCAAAAAATCAAAATATCCAAGCATTTTTAAGCCCTTTTACTTTTAAGGCAACTATGAAAATTGGCTTGTTATAAATAAAATTCTTTTTACTACAAAAATTATTATAGTCCTTTTTAAAATAGTAATTTCTCTGCTTGACCCCAAATTTTTGGTCGAGTTGACAAGAACTTTGTCCATGTTATATATTTGTTCCTCTTCTCGTCCTCATC